GTATTAGTGATAACTTCATGATTAATGTCTTCTTTTAAATCTGATTTTATTTGCTTCCTGTTCTGAATTCCTATATGGATAAGTTGATTTAAAGTACAATTTTAACTTACTAGACACTTTGCTCCAAATCAACAGATCAGAAACTAAATATCAAGGTTGACGTGGAACATGTGAAACTTGCAGATCATGACACCTGCAGCACAGCTTCAGTTTCCACAATGGAGCCCGCAGAATGTCAGAAGGCATCCATAGCATCAGGTGCACGCAGAAAAAGACGATCTGATACAGATTTAGAAGATGTCCAACCACTTGAAAAGAAAGTCCTGTGTTTAATTGCTATGAATTACCTTCATACTACACCACCAGAAAGCAGGGATGAAGGCATTGAGTTTCAGGAATACTTGCTAGACATGAAGGTCCACATCACATGTGTTTCTGTAGGAAGTTTAGTGATAACAGTCAAGTGCAATTCTCTCAAGAGCTTGGAGGAATTATGGGAAGGTTACTCCTGTGGCCTTTTGGGTAAGATGGTGCGAGATTGTTTTGAGACTGAAAAGATCTTAAAGGAACTGAACCTGGCAGAGCTAAAGCTGAAAACAACAATGGACATAGAAGAGTACAATGCATGCAAATTGTACTTTGAGAAGAATGCACTTAGAGGTCAGTAAAAAGAAAGGAACAAGGCCAGGTACTTTGAGAAAATGTTTTGAAAAGTTTACAAACACAATCCATCACTCTTTCAACATGGTGTACTTGTAGGGTTTACACACATAAAGAGACTGGGGTGCAATTTTTTATCATGATAGAACCAACTGTCTTATGAGTTAGCTGACATAGTGACTATGTGAGCCATGACAAAATTAATGGTAGAAGGGATTTGTTTTCAAGACAATTAATATTCCTTTGATGTTTTTGTGCTTTTCAAACATCCTGACCCTATTATTAACCTGATATCATTTCTTATATTTTCCTTCCTGTCTCGTTGTATTTGGTTATGATCCTTTTATAAATAAATTGAAATAAGCTAAAAAATATTAATTGGCAAGATCTTTGTTGGAGGAGCTTAAGAGAATGTGTTTGAGTTTTTTTATAAAAATGATTAGAGGTGTGTTTCATTGTTTAATATGTCATTATTCAATGATTGCTTCATTATTTGTTCTTGTTATAATTTGGTTTTAGGTGTTTTATCCTCTGAATTCCACTCCAAAAGTTCAACCAGTGAAAGTTTACAAAAACAAGAAGAGCTGAAAAAATGGAAACAGAAGACAAAGATTGTTGAGACTGAGGAAATGAAAGGTGAAAGGAAAATTGAAGACATATCAAGTTATTTAATAATGAAAAGTTGTTGTGAATGGTAACAACAATTACGTGAAACCTTTGAAGAATAATGTCAGAGCAATAATGAGGCATCAGTAATATAATTGTAAATGGTACAACTTAAAGGAAACAACACATTTGAATAGACGCTGCGAATGCTAATCTCTCTGTGCTCTTTCCCCATAGGTACTCCACCCCTCACTGTAATAAACACCACTGGGAAAAGAAAAGAACCAGAAGAACCTACAGGAAAGATAGGTGCACAGGAAAATATGTTTGAATTAATATCTGAAGTAAATATATTTGTATCTTCAGCTATTATGCCAAGTGTAGAGCTAGACTTGCTTGATAATGAATTATGTATTAAAAAACTGACATTTATGTATTTTAGATACATTTCATATACTTTTTACAGATAGTCACCTGTTGGTCTACCATGTTATGATCTCTCTATTAAAAGTAACAGCATAAATTGCTATATGTACCTTTTCCCTTAGGTACTTCACTCTCCGCCAAACTGTCCACTGCAGGTCACGGAAAAGAACGGGAAGGAAAAATGAAAACTCTGAAACTTCAGGAAGAGAAAAGTGAGTGAAAAAGGACTCTGAAGCTAGTTGGTCAGAATCAGTTAAATGAAACTGTAATTTTTATCAGGCAAGAATGCTCTTCAGAAAGTAAAAAGATTGAATTTACTAATAAAATGAGATTTGGGAACAAAGGGGTTAATTTGTTACAACGATGTAGGTTTCCTATGTTTTTTTATAGGATTTTAGACTCTAAAGTTTTAGCACTTAACAAACCCACAAGCGTTTCATCTGAAAATTTTTGCTGTTTTAACAAAGCCTAAGTATCCATCTGTCTTGATATTCACATATGTAGAAAAGTAAGTGAATGCTAATCTTTTTTTTTTTTTTCAGTGAATGCTAATCTATCCCTGTATACATTTGTTTTAAGGCATCTCGCCTCTAACTCTCTTCCAGCTCTGATTCTGATGATGACTCAAGTGAATGAAAGATATTGTTAAACTAATTAAACTAAAAAAGCTTGGAATTTAGTGCTATCTTTA